GCTCTACCACTGAGCCACACCCCAGCCCCTCACTGGGGGATTCTAGGCAGGTGCTCTGCCACTGAGACAAGCCCCTAGCCTCGAATTTAGGACAACCTGAAGTAAGGACGTAGGAAGCAATGGACAGAGAAAGGAATATCCCTTGCCTAGCTCAGGTTGCCCCCTCTGGGGAACCACAACCTCAATTCTTGGGAGTCATGCAATGGCTGCTTCGGACACCCCCAGCCTTGGGCAGAACAACCTAGCCTTGGCTAGAGTCTGTCCCTCTCATCCCGCCCTGGAAGGATTAAGTCAGCACCTAGTGTCCCCAGAAACAGAACTTCCGTTTAGGAAGGCTTGTCCTACCCACCTCTCCAGCTCCACAATGCCCTCAAGGACCTCTATTCTGGATGCTCCTTGTTGGCCAGCCTCCAAAGTCCCAAACAGTGCCCTCCAGTGGACAACACGAATGTTCCTCCTCCAAGAGGACCACAGATCTCAAACAGTGCCCTCCAGTGGATGGCCCAGGCATGGCATGAGAACCCACACACAAGTTACTATGAACTTGGGATGCAGATTCTGTGAAAGCAATGAGGGCATCTTCCAGACCCGAATATTTTGGTTGGATGTGTTTCATACATGAGGTGATAGAGACAAAGACAAGTGTCATGGCATTTAGCAGATAGGAACTGTCCCCAAGTATCTGTTCTCCCTTTTTTTTTTATTATTAAGACAGCCAAGAGCTGACAAGATGGCTCAGTGGGTAAAGGAGCTTGCCACCAAGACCTGCATTCCGTCCTCAGGATCCATGTCCTGAGGAAGAGAGAGCTGACTCCCACAAGTTATCTTCTGACATCTACACACATACACACAAAACAAATACATAAAATGCAATTAAAATATGTTAAATACCGTCAAATGTTAGATCGATCCAGACTCCAAACAAAGTCAACATATCTGGACCTCTTTCGTAGCGCTTATCTTAGAATGACTTTGCCCAGTAGTATGGAAACTCAAGTATTTTGTGTCAATTTCCAGAAAATGGCTTTCAAAGGCGCAGGAATGCTGTTCAGTGTCCCTTCCATCCTGTTTGGGGGGCTGCAGATGTGACAGCTGATATTCCAGCAGCCTTGTTACACCACATGGTGGGGGTCACTTGCTGAAGATGGTAAAGCCAGATGCGGTGAAAGAGACACCAAGGTTCCCTGTAAAAGCGGCTGGTCCCTGATGTCCATCAAGTGCAATGCGCCAACCTTACATGGCTGTCTTCTGAGCTGCTTCTTCTTCTTCTTCTTCTTCTTCTTCTTCTTCTTCTTCTTCTTCTTCTTCTTCTTCTTCTTCCTCTTCCTCTTCCTCTTCCTCTTCCTCTTCCTCCTCCTCTTCTTCATCATTGTCTTTGTCTTCTTCCTTATTTATGGGGGTAGGGCACATGCCATGGTGCACATGTAGAGGCCAGAGGACACCTTTCAGGCAGTTAGTTCTCTCCTTTCACTATGTGGGTCCCAGGGGTGAAACTTAGGTTATAATGTTTTGTGGCAAGCGCCTTGACTGACCCACCTCTTCCTGTTTTTTACTTACTCAGCTGTCTGAGTTATGATGGGTTTATAATAGCCCTAATGTCCAAAGATCCTGTCCCAGATCTTTCCTTCGGGTGAAACAAACTCATAATTACAAAGGTCAAGAGATAAATTGCCCAGCATCACTTGTTTTGGAACAATTAGACAAGGGAACAAGATACCATCACTTACAGGGCCCACTTTATGGGCCAAAAGTCCCTGCGCTTCAAGACCGGACAAGACTGGCTCATTCATTCCCCATTTCCTTCCACGGTTTTAACAATCTTGCATTACCACGCTCAGAAGGTGCTTCCACTCTCTCTCCCACTGCAACAGTAACACACCCTCGCCCCTCTGCCCAGAGAGACCAGGAAACAGATAATGAAGGGTTGATCCCACCCCAGTCTTCGAAGCCAGAGTGGCAGCCTCTGGCGCCACCTGGCGATAGTGTCATCGAGTCAAGCACGGACCCGTCGCGGGTGAGCTGGCCTGCGATGCGTTTCCCGGCATGCAGTTGCCAGGTTCTCCAGGGACAGGACGGGGGTGGGGGTGGGGGGGCGGGTGTCGCAGTTTGGAGAGATGGAAATCGCACATCTGGGCGGGGTTCGACTCTGCGCTGGTGTCCCCTGGGCCAAACCTTCTGCAAGGCAGTGCGCCCTTGCTCCCAGGAGGTGACTGACGAGTGTCTGGCGCTCGAAGGAAAGCGCGTGGCGGCCACAGCGAGCATGCGTGCGCGTGCCTCCCCCCCACATCGCTCCACGCAGCGCCCCGCACCCCGCACGCGCGCGCGCGCGCACGCACGTCCCCCCGCGCTCGCGCGTGCAGGCCAGTCACCCACGCAAGCCGCGGCCGGCAGGCTCCGGAGACAGATGCCCCCACCCATCCCCGTGAGCCAGTTGTCCCTCTCGCGTAGTGATCTCGCGTGGGCACAAAGCTGCACCATTCCCACCGTCACTCGGGGGCGGATGGGTGGGAGACTCCCTGGAAGGCAGGGCGCGTGGTCTGCGGGGCTCCCGAGCAGGCTAGGGGCTCCAAGGCCAGGCCGCTCCCACCTGCTAGCCACAGCGACCAATGAAAGCTTGGCCTGGTGATGTCATGGCCCGGCCGGACCCTTGTGATGACAGCCGGAGGTCACCGGTCATGGGGACTCGGCTCCAGCCCACCCTTGGGGGTTCCGGAAGTTTCCACGGCTGCAACCGAGTGCAGTTTCTCCCCGCAGCCTTCTCTGCGTGCCATATGCGGCCTGCCTTCTCAGCTGTCCCCGCGTCACCTCTCCCTGCCCGCGGGGGTCTCCTCCTTTGCGGAAGAGCCTGCGTTCCTGTATCTGTTCCCACAGGTGTCCCTTCATCTCCAGAGACGCCCCACGTCATTTTTTTCTACCGGGGGGTCCTCAGCCAGGATTTCACCTGTAGCCTCTCCTGTGCCACCCCCGGCTCTGCCGTGGTTACGGATGCTCAAGTGTTAGGCCTCTGATCTCTCTGGATTAGAGCCGTCAGTGTGTCCTTCCGTCCATGAAAGTCGGTCTGTCTGTGACTCGTCACGGCAGGAGACTGTCGCCCGCGTGAGCGAGCGGTGTCTGGTGTCTCCGCAGGCTGCGGTCCGTCTGTCTGTCACGTGGGCGTCTGCCCCGTCGCCGCGGGTCTGCGGGTCTGTCGGTCTGTCTGAGTCTGCCACTGGAGTGTGTCTGGGCCCCGCTCCCCGGGGTCTCGGGGTTTGAAGGGAGGGAGCAGGAGGGGAGGTGGCAGCCCGGGGGAGCGGGGAGGGGCGGGGGCGGAGACAGTGGGCGGGCGGGGGCGCCGTGCGGCCCGGAGGGGTGTGTGCGGGGGGCCGGAGGCGGCTGTCACTGTCGGCTCAGCCTGCGCCGGGGAACATTGGCCGCCTCCAGCTCCCGGCGCGGCCCGACCCGGCCCGGCTTGGCCGCCTCAGGTGAGTCTCCCAACCCACCCGGGACCCTCCACCGGCTGGGGACCAATCCGCACCCCGGGGGAACCGGCGATCCTGGGATGATCGGAACCCCCCAAACAGAGATTCCACTGCACCGTCCGCCTCCCGGGGCCTGCCCGGTGGGCCTCCCGCCCCCGCTACATTGCACTCCTCTGAAACTCCCGCTGGCCGCTGCATACTCACTGATGATGCTCTCTGGGCCGCCCGCTGCCTCTGCGTTCTCTTCCTGCAGGGACCCCCTGAAGGCCCATTCCCCACTCTCCTCCAAGTCTGGGGACATTGGAAGACGCCCCCTGTTTGGGGCGGAGCCCAAACTGCGCAGGTTACTGACATCCCGACTGCACCACCCCCCATCCCCAGGGCCGCGACCCTAACGTCCCTGCCCAGCTGAGCCCCTTGCCAGCTCCAGGACCCCCTCCTGCGGAGATTCCGTCTCTGTTTTCTTTCTTTCTTCTTCTTCTTTTTTTTTTTTTTTCTAAAGGGAGGCTCAGCGGAAGCCCCGAGTTATAATTAGCCCCACTCGGGTTTCCTGATTAATCTCCACAACGCCACTATCCCCAGATCCAGGCGACCAAGGCTGGCTGGGTGATGGGTGAACGCCCGGAGGGGTAGTTCCGACCCGGGGAATTTTGATCTCTTGGCTGGAGATGCCGGAACTACAGCAGCTGTTGCCCCCAAAATAGCAACCCCTGCCTTTGCAGCGGGGATCTCCGGAGCTCCGGGAACACGGGAGTCCTGGCTCGCCCTTCAGTCCCCTCTGCGATGCTCACGATCCTTTCAGATCCCCCACACACATCAAGGCACGGGCGGGGAGCGCTGGCCTCTTCTTGGTCTCTACTGCTCCCGGTTGGCAGCGGCGGGCACTGCAATATGGGGATGCACGGGGGCTTGAGTCCTGGGGAGCCCCTCAAGGGGCTGGTGAGCCAATTGCCTGGAGTCAGACGAGAGGGGTGCGGCTGATGAGAAGCGAACGGGTACCAACCGGCTGTACCAGGAAGGAGATGAGGCGGAGCAGGGTGGGGCAAGGTGTGGACCGGACAGGATTTGGGATGCCTACAGGACCTGGGACTCTCAATACCTTGAATGCCCAACCCACTCCCCGAAGGCTTTGGCCAACCCAGGAGAGACTCAGAGCTGTGCTTTCTTACCCTAACCTGCAAGCTCCTGAAGGGCCCCACCCGTCTTTGAGGGCCCCGCCCCTGTCCTGAGGCCTGTACATGGACTGAGGTCTTTCCGACCCTGCGCTCTATGCAAGGGGTCTTAACTCAAGTCACAGAGGCAGGGGAAGGAGGTTCGGGAGGCCTTGGGACTTGCTGGGTAGGGGAGAGTATGTGCTAGCCGGTCTTATCTCAGTCGGCTGCACTTGTTGTGGTATGGGTGTGTCTGTCTGTCTGTCTGATCTTGCGTTCCCTCTGGTTTGTCTGTCGGTGTCTTGTCTCCTAGTTTGACTCCGTTTCTCCGCCCCTTGCCAATCTGCCCCACCCCCACCCCACCCCCTGCAACTCCTCGATAACCCTGGGGCAAAACTGTTACTTAATCTCTCTGCGCCTCCAGCCTTCACTCTTTACCTTTCTCTCTCCCAGCAGACATCGCCTGTCTTGGCAGTCATGAGGCCTTCCCGGTATCCCCTGCACACACCCTCCCTGGCTTCACCACTCCTCCTCCTCCTCCTCTCCCTCCTGGGCGGAGGGGCAGGGGCTGAGGGCCGGGAAGACCCACAGCTGCTGGTGAGGGTTCGAGGGGGCCAGCTGAGGGGCATCCGCCTGAAGGCCCCTGGGGGCCCAGTCTCAGCTTTTCTGGGCATCCCCTTTGCAGAGCCCCCTGTGGGCTCACGTAGGTTTATGCCACCAGAGCCCAAGAGGCCCTGGTCAGGAGTGTTGGATGCTACCGCCTTCCAAAATGTCTGCTACCAATATGTGGATACCCTGTACCCTGGGTTTGAGGGTACTGAGATGTGGAACCCCAACCGAGCGCTGAGTGAAGACTGCCTGTATCTTAACGTGTGGACACCATATCCCAGGCCTACTTCTCCCGCCCCTGTCCTCATCTGGATCTATGGGGGTGGCTTCTACAGCGGAGCATCCTCCTTGGACGTGTATGATGGCCGTTTCCTGGCCCAGGTTGAGGGGACCGTATTGGTATCTATGAACTACCGAGTAGGAACCTTTGGCTTCTTGGCCCTGCCGGGCAGCAGAGAAGCCCCTGGCAATGTAGGCCTGCTGGATCAACGGCTTGCCTTGCAGTGGGTGCAGGAAAATATTGCAGCCTTTGGGGGAAACCCGATGTCGGTGACTCTGTTTGGGGAGAGTGCAGGTGCAGCCTCCGTGGGCATGCACATTCTGTCCCTGCCCAGCCGGAGCCTCTTCCACAGGGCTGTCCTGCAGAGTGGTACACCCAATGGGCCCTGGGCCACCGTGGGTGCAGGAGAGGCCAGGCGCAGGGCCACACTGCTGGCCCGCCTCGTGGGCTGTCCCCCAGGCGGCGCTGGCGGCAACGACACAGAGCTGATAGCCTGCCTGCGATCGCGGCCAGCTCAGGACCTGGTGGACCACGAGTGGCATGTGCTGCCTCAAGAGAGTATCTTCCGATTCTCCTTCGTGCCTGTGGTGGACGGGGACTTCCTCAGTGACACCCCAGAGGCCCTCATCAATGCCGGAGATTTTCAAGACCTGCAGGTGACTAAGGGTTGACTAGACTCTTCTGGGTTTCATCCATTCCTCCCCTTCCCCCGAGACCCAAGCATGAGGGCTTACTGCAGATCCACTGTTAGAGGTCCAAGTTTGTGGGTCCCAAGGTCAGTCCCTCCCTGTGGAGGGTTCAGATCCCATAGTGGTTGCTGGGCAAGAAAAGAAACTATGGGTATATTTTTTTCTTTCTCTCCGTTCCCTGCTCTCTGCTCCACGTAATTCTGGCTCTGTAATGGTTCGTCTGTCTGGCTGTCTGTTTGTTCATCTGTTTCTGCCTGTCTATCATCTCTCCATCCTTTCCCCCATCCCCAACTATCCTCAGGTGCTGGTGGGTGTGGTGAAGGACGAGGGCTCCTACTTTCTGGTTTACGGGGTCCCAGGCTTCAGCAAAGACAATGAATCTCTCATCAGCCGGGCCCAGTTCCTGGCTGGGGTGCGGATCGGTGTACCCCAAGCAAGTGACCTGGCGGCCGAGGCTGTGGTCCTACATTATACAGACTGGCTGCATCCTGAGGACCCTGCCCACCTGAGGGATGCCATGAGTGCAGTGGTAGGCGACCACAACGTTGTATGCCCCGTGGCCCAGCTGGCTGGGCGACTGGCTGCCCAAGGGGCCCGGGTCTATGCCTACGTCTTTGAACACCGTGCCTCCACATTGACTTGGCCCCTCTGGATGGGGGTGCCCCATGGCTATGAAATCGAGTTCATCTTTGGGCTCCCCCTGGACCCTTCACTGAACTACACCATGGAGGAGAGAATCTTTGCTCAGCGACTTATGAAATACTGGACCAATTTTGCCCGCACAGGGTCAGTGGTATTGGAGTGGGGACATCCTCCGGGGCTCCAGGGGAGAGGGGTGCTGTGGATGATAGTGGAAAGAAGAGAAACATCCACAAAGGAAAGGGGATGGAGAGAAAGCCAACGGTGATGTGGAGAGCAGGCAGGCAGGATGGGGAGTCCTTATGAGATGGAAACAGAGCTGGGCACCTTTAATCCCAGCACTCAGGAGACAGAGGACCGTCCACTCTATATATCGAGGTCCAGGCTACCTGGAACTCATAGTGAGGTCCTGTTGCGGGAGGGGTTGGGGCGAGTGCTGGAAGTATGGCTTAGTGGTAAAAGGCTAAGGTTATATACGAGGCCATCCCCGGCACTGCAAAAGTTAGCAAGGTGATTGGCAGGATGGTTCAAAACAGGTGGAAGGGGTTGTTGTGCAAGCCGCATTACCTGAGCCGGATCCCTGGAACCCACATAAAGGGGGAAGGCGAGAACTGACTCCATAAATTTACCCTGACTTCCATATCCCTCTCTCTCTCTCTCTCTCTCTCTCTCTCTCTCTCTCTCTCTCTCTCACACACACACACACACACACACACACACACACCACCATCATCATCATCATTTTAAAAAATATTAAAGACGAGACAGAGAAAGGCAATAGAGGATTGGGGGTGTAGCCTGGTTGGTAAAGTACTTACTTGCCTAGCAGGCACAAACCCTTGAGTGCACCAGATTTTCTGTCACTTTGTAGTAAAGATGATGTTTGTAGAAACAGGACTGCACCTACCCACACAGCTAAATGCACAATCCTAGAATTCGTATTTTATTTTGAAATACGGTCTCACTATGTATCCCCGGCTGACTTGGAATTCTCCATGTGGATCAGGCTGGCCTCAAACTCACAGAAATTCACCTGCCTCTTGAGGCCTCCCGGGTGCTGGGATTAAAAGTTTGTGGTGCCACGCCCAGCTAGAAACTATTATATTAATATTCTTCTCTATCTTCCCCTCAGCTCA